TTTGATTATTTGTAAATGTATTGATATTATGAGTAACTTACCTGTCTTACAAGGATATTTTCAAGCTGATGGTGAATAGTAACCGCCAATTTTAAAGCTCTCCAATGAACAAAATGATCACGACACCACTTGGTGGGCGAAGAACTAGATACAAGGTACCGCAAAATATCAGTTCAACCATGCTTAGTAGAATAGCCTATCTCTATTAACTATGGTTCTACAAATAACTGAGCTATCACTGAAAGTAGGTCGATATGAAAAAAGTTATGATGCAGGTTTGTTGCTGGTTTTTATACCCGCTATCTTGGTTGAATTTTACAAAAGATTAGTCGTTATAGTCGTTATACCACAATGTCCTTTGTTGTTTCATTTTCTTCGGAATGACTGAAAACTAGCAATTTCAGGTATATTCATATCAAACTTTTCCCCATATAATATGGACATTGGCTATTGGTGAATCGCTTGAACTTTGATTCGTATAATTATTACATTCACCATTTTCCATACAGTCGGTTCAATGCTCAATCAAAAAGCATTCAGTCGAGGTTGCAAGGTTTAAAATTGAATAATCCTTTGAAAGTACCTTGGCGCCTCGCTTGAGCGCTTTGTGTTTGACCAATGAACCAATGTATGGAAAATGGTGAATACACTCAACTGTAGTTGATTATCAATCTAAAGGAATACCAAAAAGCTTAAAATCGTAAGCTATCAATTGATAGCGGATCTATACCCAATAAAGCAGTAAAAATAGGTAAGACCCCGCTAAGTATGGTAGGTGATAACAAAGATAATAAAGCTTTTAGTCGGTAGCCAATTTTATATATCAATTATCATACATCTGAACAATTAAAATATTTATTTACGATTTTTCAACCAGGCTATCCCAGACCACGCGACATTCCCAGAGTACTATCTTTGTTTAATTATTGCGTTTGAGAAAAAACAAGGATAAAAATTTACTAATTTTTTCTCTCAAGAGAATGAGACATGGTCTATAGTGACTGATTACTGGTGAAGTACCTTTCATTGCACTCTTTATAGATGTATAATAATGTAGCAAAGTCATTTGTGCCCCCAGCGGCTTCTGCAAGTTCTTTTTGGATTCTTGATACTTTAGCCAAGTTTGATTTACTACTTCCACTGGCAAATACTTGCTCTACAGAAAGCATGGCTGCAACAGGTAATACAAGTTCTTCACAGACAAAATCGTAAGAGCTAATGACTGCTCTTGAAAGGCCCGGTGAAAGCGGCAGCTCAACCATTCGATGCCCTAATAAAGTGACGTGTCCTTTCCTATATTTATAAACGAGTGAAACCATTAGCAATTTCAAAAATATATATAATTAAAGCAGAAGCACTTGCAGTGGCAGTGGCAGAGGCAGAGGCAGTGCTAGTGCTAGTGGCAGTGCTAGTGCTAGTGCTAGTGCTAGTG